CATTTTTATTATGGAAATCAGGACAACAAAGGTATATGTTAAAACCAGACTCGATACAGTATAGAAAAGCAATTCTAATCTTATGTGCATATGCGTTAAATTCTATATTTATTATTTACCTTCGGAAAGTATTTCCGATTTTGTAACTTCTTTCACCTACAGAAAGAAACAGAAAGTTTGCGAAAATCGCTAGTATTTTATGTGTAGGTATTTATGATCGAATTATCGAACTTGTAAGTATTTACCTAATGAGTAGAATTACTTAATGCCTATAAAATTATTATTTTTTTCTATTAAATGCCAACTATTATTAAACTAGGTTCTAGGCAAGTTAGATTATAAATTCCAAGTAATATTATTTTCCCGTCAACTTTATTGATAAAGCAGTATGATTGTCCTCTATTTATAGAATATTAAATATAACGTTCTCAAGAAGACAATAAGTAACAATTTTTTTTGTAATTGAATGGCGTTATGTTGTTTATAAAATGGTTATTAATAAGAGCTTCAAATATACTTAAAATATATACTTTTCATTCCCTCCCCTGCCCCACTGACGAGCTTTATTAATCATGTATGGTACTCACATTTAGACAGTTATTTACAATGAGCACATTTCTTGAACAGCATACCATACTTCCATTTAGCTTTTAAATCATTGATAAAAGAATGCCCAAACAAAATCTTCCGTCTCTTCCAGATTTTTTTGTTTTCTTGGACGTTATTTTTTTATAACAGACCAAAGAGATGTCCAAGAAAACCAATATATATCACCTAAATTACAACATTTGTAAGAATATTCTTCATGAAGCCCTTCAAATATTGTGATACGAAGATACGGAGAGATTATTGTTAGTAAATAAGTAAAGATGCAGCTTTAAATCAAGTTTATATTAATATATTGCTTTTAATCTTTTCCTACACTTTATGTTTAGCTGTAAGTTCATCGTTTCATTTTATTTTATAGTGTATACTTTAATGTTAGTTATGTAAGTATTTTTCTCGCCTGACATACAGGACAATACTAGTATCTCTAGTTTTATACACCATATTTATAAGTAAAATACTAACTTATAAATTTATTTATTTACATAGAAATAAAACCGCAACCCCACAATGTCCTTATTAAATCAATCCAAAACTTTATATCTCTTGATAATATTTTAATGCAATTCTTTCCCTTACCGTTGTTTATTGTATGTAGTTTCTAAAATAAACGTTTCATCAATCTATTTATAGAAAATATATATATAATTAAACAATTTTAAAAATATAACGAAATAATCTTTGAAAGGATTATGTATTCGAGACTAACTTCGTTTCTAACAAAGCACAATATACTCGCAAATGAACAGTACAGGTTTCAGAAGGGGAAATATACTCTTGCGTGTATTTCTCTTATTAGAACCATAATATCATTGTGTGGACTATGAGATACTTCTGACGAAGCTTCGGATTGTATGGTCTATAAGGTCTTCGAACTTATAATTGGATCAGAGGCTGTCTTAGTAATAGATTGCAATCTGTGTAAATTTTGAAACTCATTAAGGGACTAATAAATATTGAGTGTAGATCGGAAAATAAGAAGGTAGAGAACGGTGTTCCCCGAGGTAGTATACTGGGGCCATTGATGTTTATGCGTAAGATAAATAGCTATTAGGGCATATATTATTGGGCTGAATATAATTATTAGAATAATATCTGTTTATGCTCTAAGAAACAAAAGATATAATAAATATATAAATTAAACTATAATAATCACAGAGAAACTACATATTAAATTAAAACTACTTATCTAAACTATTTCTTAAAATAATAACTAAACTAGATTAAAAATGTCTCCCAGATCATTGCTTACAGGTAAGGTACCCAGAAGGCTGCGAGCGTTACCTCTTTGAATAGCTAAACTAATTCTTTGGGCGAGGTACAAACCTGCCCTCTGATCACCTGACCTGTCAAAAAGTTTCTTTTTTAACTCTTGATAAAGACGATGGGCTCCAGGGCCTCATGGACCCATCGTTTCGACCCCAAACGGCTCAAATATGTAGGTATTACTTATACCTGAATATTTTCGCCGTTTGAGGCTTTCCGCAGCAGCGGCGGCTACACCCGCCTCAAGACATGTTCGTGGAAGATGAGTTGGCGCCAAAGTATCAACGCAGGTGGCATCCCATACTAGGGGTCGACCCATCCTCCAAGGTACCAAAGACATCTCATCAGGTCTCTTACCGTCGTCGCGAGTCAGCCCGTTCGGTTCTAGAATGGCTGGCACTGACGCCGTAGCAAGAGCTCGACGGATGATATCATTGATACTTGCATGTCGAGAGATACGACTAGCACTTCTGCTACAAGATAAGCCGTGATGATCTAAAGAGTCCACCGTTTCACCGTAAGGGCAAAGATGAGGGAGATTACAGGTTGCCCCCAGGCGAAGACAAACTGAAAGGCGAAAAGTTGTATTATCTAGAAGTGTCCCAACAGTCGACGACGGCATGACTTGTAACCAAAGACCGGATTCCCACTCAGCGACAGCTAAGAGACGAGCATGCTCTGCTATATATAAATGATCTTTTTAAAAGTATGCAATTTCCAGTTACCCTCCTTGCTGATGATATATCTGTAACTGTTCATTAGAGCAAAGACAATGTTTTTCAAATAGAGGTTAACAATGAGATAAAAAAAGTTGTCTGTTCACTGCTCTAACGAAATTATTACTGAAGCATTGTGATAGACGCATGGTAATCGTGGCAACATCATGGCGATATGGTACGCCAAAGGTAATCATTAAACGTCTAATTTTATTCGATTTCCTGCATTTTGATTTCGAATCTACGAATACTATAACAGTGTCTCAAAATATTTTTTTTGTCAATTGATAAAACGTGCTTTTTTCTTATAGAAGATATAGAACTTCAAAGAACCCGAAAATCTCAATAGCGTATTAAAAATATTGAAGAAAATTCTGAGTTCCTTACCAGTAGATTTAGGAACAGATAGCATAGCATTTCAATATCCACAAGTACTTGTTACAGCCTAGATTAAGTAAATAATAATTAGTTTATGATTGAAAAAAAAATACATTGAAAATATTTATTGGAAAAGAAGTTATCGATTTCCATTTACATCAAATGTTAAAATAATATAACGGGTAAAACTTTTCTGTATACTGATTATATTTACACATAAGATCCTTTGCATTATTTATTTAAGCATTCAAACTCTTAAATATCTTCAAGCATAAATTTAAAAACATGTACGAGTATGTGACTCTCTCGCTCGCCCGGTTCGCTTTTTGTCATATTACAGTTCTAACATAACCTACCGAACTTATTCATCGATGCTTTTAATTAATATTTGCTTACAAACATTAAGTAAAAATAGTTATGCCAGTTTATATTATATGCAAAAAATAATTATGTCAAAATATTATTATGCCAAAAAAACTTATGCCAAAGGAATGAGAACATTGTGCATAAAGGTACGCTCCCGGAATTGTTAATTGACTTCAAATGTCGTTTTTTGTAAATACTGTTTTTCTCTATAGTGTGATGATAAAATAGCGTATAATGAAATAAAACTATAATTGCCAATCTCAAGTTTTCCTATTTAATAACAACAACAATATCAAACAAACGTGGCCTGAACAGTTTGCCTTCGCGATATTACATTTAACAAGCCGGTGCCTTCAACATCTGAGCCTTTTACTTTCAGAATAAGAATATGAATGAATGAATGATTATATATATGCAGAAAACATGGTACAATTTTAATTATTATATTAAAATATTTTATCGATATTTCGATTTGTAAATATTGCATTGCAAATGTTGCAATCATGTATAACTACTTAATTTTCTACATGATAATAAAAAATTTAATTAATTTCAAACTTAATTATGTATTATTAATTTATGTTAATATCTCTTGCGGTTGTCATGTCCTCATTTACAATGAAAAATATTATACTACTACAGTCACTACTACCCAAATAGAAAATACATCCATTACGGCAGAATCGCACAGATTAATTTATGTCATAAAAGTAATTTTCAACCACCATTTAAAGATAATTCTCTTAAAGCGTGTAAACGGATGATTTTGGATACAAAAAGAAAATTATATACTCGTATAATTTAATGCACATGCTATTACTGTTTCTATAAAGACATGTTGTAGTTGAGGATGGAATGATCAATTTCTATGGAGATTTTGTTCAAAAATTACATTTTATATGCTTCTTTGTAAAAATATTAAAGTTTTTTTAACAAATGAAACTTCGAATATGTAAAGTGATGGCAACAAATATATATATATATTTATTTAAATAGAGGCCTACACGATTGTAACTGACCGACTCCACAAATTGTTCGGACACACTTTTTTTGCAATTTAAAAGCATTATTTATGTCTGTTGAATTTCCCTATGTCACCACGGAACCAACATATCCATGATATGCCACCAAAGCCGTTCTCTGGTTAGCTAATTGTGTAAGGCGGTAAAGTGCGTAGACAAATCTATTTAAGATAATCCCTCTTTAGCAAATGTTAACTTTATTTAAATTTCACCTTTACATAATTGTTAAACATTATACAAATATTTAAAGTATATGTTATTATATCTTTTAACTAAATACTAAAGTACATGGAGTTTACATTAAAATATCCTTTCTATAAATAATCCAGACGGATTGACAATTAAAATAAATTGTTGACTGAGTGCCAATAATTTAAAAGTTTCGAAAATGTCATTTAAGATCAAATGATAGATCTCCATTTGGTCTTAAATATATTTTTTTTTATTTATTTATTAACTATTGGCATGACAAATTAAATATGTAAAGAACCTAGGAAAAAAGTTAACGGTGTCTTCGTACTGTTACGGTTTGGAATCCGTGCAAGATTTAAAAGCAGTTTTTATTTCCAAAAACGACTTTTTAACTTTCCTTTTTTTTTAAATCATAGATTGTTTTTTATTGACATGAATATAATATCCTTTACAGGTTGTGTAATCCCGCAACGTTACATTCTAGGAGTAATGGGCCTGCTAGGAGTATGTAATGCATACACAATGAGAGTGTGCCTCAATCTAGCTATTACACAGATGGTGAACCACACTAAGTCTTCCAATGAGAGCATGACTAATCTTTTCGATGATGACACATGTCATAACGAACTCAACTCTACATCGTCTTCCGCAGCCAGTAAACCTGTAAGTATGATTTACTATTTTTTAACTATTTCAATGAGACATCAGTTTATATAAATTACTAGGGGCCGCCCGCGCCTTCGTCCGCGTGGAAGCCAGGTTCCAGTAACCCAAGGGGTATGAAAACTAGATCTTGGCCGATTCTCAGACCTACTCAATATGCTCACAACATTTCATGAGAATCGGCCAAGCCGTTTCGGAGGAGTACGGGAACCTAAATTGTGACACGAGAATTTTATATACATAAAGATAATAATAAAAAGCAAATCTTCATCTTAATAGCTGTTTATGAGATTACCTAAATATCGACCGCAATACGCTCACTAAATAAAATTAAGTACTTAAATAAAAGTCCTCATAAATTCAACAGTCTCGCTATGGTTACGGGTACTAATCCGGTGTTTAAACACCTGAGATAGCAATAGAAAGAATAAAGCAATACACAAGTTATGTTACCGTTTTGTAGCGGTATCAATAAACGATTAAGTTATTACTAGGTATTATAAGTTATTACTATCTATCTAAATAAAGGGTTTTGCTATTTTTAGTCACATTCTTGTAAAATGAGTTCTGCGCGCGTAGTATGACGGTCTCGAGAGACTCGAGAAATACGATATGACCATACGATGTCCGACTCTCGATCCGCTTTGAGTCTCTCGAGTAAATCACACTACGCTAGTGGAAAAAAATATACCCAATAGGTACCAAAAACTTGGCTCATTATGATAAAAAAATTAAGAAACTATTTTTATATTTCATTAATTTATAGGCAATAAAATCGTTAGGCAAACCATAAACTTTAAAATCTATTTCCATTTCAGTAGAAAACGATACTAAATGTCCAGTATAAATACATAATTTAAGAAGACACGGTAATAAATTAAGTTAACATCTACATAAATATTATATTAGTAATAAGAAATTAAATGTGCCATTATTTAAGTGGATTGTGATAAGTTTTATTTAAGTTATTGTCATTATTTTTTTTTCAGCACGCAATATTTGAATGGGATGAAAAGACGCAGGGTCTTATTCTCAGCGGTTTTTATTATGGATACGCTGCAACGCAAGTGCCAGGGGGCTATTTAGCTGAGAAGTTTGGTGGCAAATGGACGTTAGGCGTCGGGCTCTTGAGCACTGCCTTATTTACATTCCTTACTCCGGTTGTGATCCGATCTACTGGAGCTATTGGATTGTTTATTTTAAGAGTCCTACAGGGTATGGGGGAGGTAGGTTAAATAAATACAAATATTTTAAAATATTTAATACATTGTTTATTGATTCTGGAACAAATCCTCTTATCCGTACCAGAGACAATATAGAAAATTAAAAAAAAGGAAAATTTTATTAAAATGCGACCCGTTTTGCTGCGGAGGTCGTCAAATCCAATGCAATTTCTTGATAAAAATCCGTCGTTTTGAATCGAGAATGGTACTTTTCCACCAAATAAAATACTTAACTGTTTAAGCCAAAATCTGTACTACAATGATTTTTCGATTAGATGTAGGTATTGTACTACTATGTAATAATATATGCAGTATTTTGTGCATTGAGATTTCAAGTAAAATCTATTTAGGTTCTTATATCGTGTACTTTAGATGAATTAAATACTCATCCAATTCGTTTTTATCGTGTTTACTTCATATATTTGGAACATTCACGTTTCTTATACATGTATTTTTAATTTTGTGAGCTAGCCTATGATTATTATGAATAAGTCTCGAAATTTTATATTTTGACTTTTTTTTACTAACGATTGTTTGCCGACTTTAGTTCCTACACCACAATGCTAATAATAAATTTCCATAATAAAACATATTCAACATGTTTAAACTGTATGTCAAATAATCATAGACGAATATATAAATAATGAAGTAGGTATTAGTTTAAGTAAACAGTATAAATAAAGAATTTTTATAAAAAGGAATAGGTATTCATTAGATTGTTACCAAATGACATATTTGGAATTTGTTCCAAAATATGTGGGACTATACTAATCGCCTTCTTTCATTCATAATTTTCATTTTACATGTAAACATTAATTAATTTACTTGACATTGGCAGAATTGTGCGAAATGCGCAGATGAGCCATTAATTAAAAAATAAGAAGAAGACATTAGAGTAATTATTAATCAGTATGACATTGACAATTGTGTCTTCTTCTTATTCTTTATTAATGGCTTATCTGCGCATTTCGCACAATTCTGCCAATGTCAAGTGGATAAATTAATTATTACATGTAAAATGAAAATGAAATAAACGAAAGATGGCAAATTATTCGACAATTGTGTCAAAAATAAACAAAAAAATGCATTTCTTTGTGGTTATATCCACAGAATTATCAGATCAATGTATCGAGAACAGTCAATTTTGTTTTCAGAAAAACATAATATGCCTTCCATTTTTTATTGAATGGAAAAATATTGCTGCAATAATAAATAATATTTCTTCCCAGGGTCCAACCATGCCAGCCCTAATGATAATGTTGGCGAGATGGGTACCACCGCACGAGAGATCGTTCCAAGGTGCTTTGGTATTCGGTGGAGCTCAGATAGGGAACATATTTGGTTCTTTTATGTCTGGTATCCTATTGGCTGACGGAAGAGATTGGGCATATGTATTCTACTTCTTCGGCGGGTTTGGAATATTCTGGTTCTGTTTATGGGTAAGTACGGAATTATTTATTATATACTATTTTTTCAGCCAGTGGTTTCGCAATGCGTGGTCCAAGGAGGTTACCATCACCACATATCAATGTTCTATCCGTGATGCGAGCGGGACAGTACTATGCGGATAATAGTGGTGTCTAGCTCATTGCATGGATCTAACATTCCTATAAGAGATCATGGTATGGCCCTTGTTTTATACGCATAAATCTTCGTCGGTAGCTCGGTGGCGTAGTGGATAAGCGCCGCGGCCCGCGATCGTAGTCATTAAGCAACTTTCGCAGGGGTCGGTCACGGGATGGATGACCAACAATTATTATCACGAGCTACACCGTGCTTCGAAAGACAAGTTAGCCGTTGGTCCCGCCTGCATTTGTATTCGTTAATGCCCTTAAATCAGCATTGGGCCAACTTAGAGGGTCATGGCCCGTTCTTCTTACCCATCCATAAGAAAGGCCTGGGCCTCTCCAGTGGGGACATAAAAAGTGCCGATGATGAGGATTACAACTCCTCACCAATTCTCGCATTTTTAGTATTAGTTCGACACTATTCTGAGTAGGAACTAATTTGATGATCATACTCAAAGGAATAAATACTCAGTTGGCCTTAAAATATCTAATATCATACAAGCCTTATCATACCAAAGGTTTATAAGACTTTTGTTATTTCTTTAACTTGATTGTATTTATTGTGTTTTCTTGGGAATCATAACGAGTGTTTTTAATTACAGAGTCTTCTGTGCTACAGCACGCCAAACGTCCACCCGTATATATCAAAGAAGGAATTGGCTTATCTCAATAAAAATGTGACTACAGCTGAATCTACCACTAAGAAGGATCCAGTGCCTTGGAAGGCTATACTGCGGTCAGCACCAGCTTGGGCACTTGTTTGTGCGGCGGTATGTTACAACTTTTAAATAATCTTAAGAGCTCTATTATAAATGCAAACAAACCTACCACACGGCCAAACAAGCTGAGCTCTAAGTATTTAGAGTAATCTTGCAGTTATATTTTATCGTTATCATTGAAATAGGATAATTTTGTAGTTAAAAATTATTTCATATTTATTTCTTATGAAGTTTAAATGAGAAATTCTCAGTTAACTCAAAGCTACTTTCGAAATCATTTTTTTTTTCATTTATTTAAACTAGTAGCTCAATCTATGAGCTTAAAAATATGGCATCAAATTAAATTTTGAGTTTAATTAGAAAGCTATGCACAATTTACAAAAAGCCATTACGAACTATATCAATAGATATTATGCACTATTCATTACGTAAAGAATATTAAAAGGTATATTTTCTATTTTAAAATGTAGAATGTCAAAATTGACCATTTTACGCAAAAATCACAGACGAAATGTAATAAGGCTCCTAAAGTATTTTTATTGAATTTGAAATCTTAGTGTACCGTTACCCCTAAAAATATCACTTTCTCAACACGCCACATATTTCTCTCACGTATTAAATGTTTCCATTACATAATTAATAAATACTCTATCCCTTTTAATATAGACGAAGACTAAAGTCCGCCTAAAGCAAATTGATAATGACATAAGGCAAAATATCAAATTCAGTCGTGTTGACTTATTTTGGTCAGATAATGGTTTGAACCTGATATTAAAGTTAGTCCTCGCTTTCGAATAAGATAGTATATGTACTGAATTAAGGATCATTGAAATAATTAACAAATATTATTTTAGTACATCACCTCGTTAATCTTAAACCTAAATGTAAAGATCACGATTTCGTCTAAAGATACTCGAGGAAATTCAAAGTATGCCATGTATTTTTAAATTCTCGCTTCATACTCTTTTGTAGTATCGCTGGGGGAAAAGTAAGTTAATTAGCCTTATCTCTGTTAATTAATTAAAAAGTAGAAGGTGCCTTGTCAACTCAAATATAAAAAAGGTACCTTACGCTTCATCAAACTAGTCATTCGTGAGTAAACTTAATTAAAGTTAAATGTTCGCTTAAAATGAAAATGATATATTTTTCTAGTCACACCACCTCTACCTATAATATTAATGCGCAAAACAAAAATAATGTAGAAATTTCCGATAAACGATAGAGGAATATGAAATTAATATTTTTGAATATATTAGAAAAATAGCACATTCTTTATAATTTTATTATTCAATATAAAAAACCGTTTAAACAATGAAATGAATGAAGCATTCAGTACCGTCTGTACAAAAAAGCTAAAGACCACGTTTGTTCTGTGAATTTATATGAAAATACATGAATCATTTCACATTATGTATGCTCGAGTCGTCAAAATTCTAATATTACCTGTCATTCATGTACAAGATGTTAAAATTCATTTCTTCCATCTTGTATCGAGTCTCTTAATTTTTTTTTCATAAATGGAATGAATGCATCCACCATTAACTTTAGTCTATTTTCGACCTTAGTTAATCATATAAATATGTATTAGATTTTATTGTAGTTCATATTTCATCGCATTGAATACTATCACCGCTATAAAGTAAGACGTGTTCTTAATTATTCTGTTTCCAGTGAACTGAATTGACTTAGATTCAATAAATTGCTAGTGATTGCGACAGTACATTTTGCAATGCTAATTCACTATAGCTCGTAAAACTAAAAGATTGCTTGCGTCATTTTTTTATTAAAGCGAGAAGTAAAGTGATATTAAATGTTTTATTTACTATTGAATTTAAATATACATAATTCACTGATAAAGTATTACCCATCTTAATCTGTCATCTAAAACCGCAAAAAAAACACCACCACTAACCACTGTAGTCGAGTGATTCGCACACCGCCCGTTTTCAAAGTATCGCTATCTCTAAGGTCCCGGGTTCGATTCCCGTTCGGGTCAACTTTTTTACTGTCTGGGGTCTGGGTGTTGTGTTACCTTGGTTGTCTCAGATACTCCGTAACGTGGGGGCTTTAGCTACTCATAATGGAATCTGAGCAATGTATGCGTTGATCTTAATTTTTCACTGATTAATTGACATCATTAGAGGCATGAACCCTTTATGATATGAAAGTTGTATTCAACTAAAATTATAAGCGGAAAAATAGTTAACAACGTGTTGTGGCAATCGCAGAATAATCACATAGCGAAATGCGTGCTATTGCTCTAATGGAAACTCCCACGACGCGTTGTGTCAATATCAGAATAACCATATAGCGAAATCCGTGAAGTGTATTGAGCGAGCAAAGCGAGCGTACCGCGGCAGTGGTCGGCGAAATGCCAGAAAGGAATCGCTGTTGTAAAATATAATAGCTAGTTAAACCGATTAATGCGCAGAACGCGTCGTGACTTTTCTTCATTGCCACAACGCATTGTGGCCCAATAGTATACTATTTATACAGCCACGACAAGGATTTTGCTATGTGGTAATTATGTGAATGCCACAACGCGTCGTGAGCGTTTCCATGAGAGCCATAGCACGCATTTTCGCTATGTGAATATTTTACTGTAACTACAAAGCGTTTTAAACTATTTTTTCACTTAACGAGCGATTTGGATCTTTGAGCATATTGTTCAGTTAACTAATTAAATTGCCGTTTTCAATATGAATATTTATATTTATTGTAATGAATCTAATAAATAAATTGCATTATCCATATTATATCTACATACTGTGACCCCTTGACTTGAAAGCGTTGTGACCTCCCAAATTGCGGACTTGAAGGATTAATAAGATGAAAGGGTTCACTGAGAAGATTATGTTTTTTGTTTTGTTAACTTACTTATATGGGTATTTTGAAATATACTTTATTGACAGCAGAACTAAAACAATCAAAGCAATAATGCTTCATAGGTATATATATAGGTAAACATAAGTTTAGGTCTATTTCAAAGTTCAGTACTTGTAAAGGTAATAATCATACTAACTTTAAACAAGTTTGCCATGAAACAAACCTCGAATTGGTAGTAAAACTTTAAACCTCATTCACAATGTCCACTGTCAATGACCTCGGTCTTTGTTCTCCGATATCAAATACAAATTGGTACCTACATTTTTTATACAATATTGAACCTTAAACTGAAGTAGTTAAACTATTTTATAGCTATGAAATAATTTGTTCATATCTATTAATTATAATTTTAATTAAATGTAATTTTTAGTTTATTTCATTTAAATGGAATAACATTTTTGATTCTTAATAATGTTTGAAAATACTAAGAAAAGTTTTAAAGGCAAAAATTAATTTACTTATTAGAAATAATAAATATAAAGAAATGAATTCAGAAACGAGTCTCATAATAAACTCGGCTGTAACTAGATGGAAAATATTTTTTATCGAAATTATTCATATTCCAGGTTGGTCATGACTGGGGCTATTATACAATGGTCACAGATCTTCCTAAGTACTCCCACGACGTTCTCAAGTTCAACATTGCGACTACTGGCACTCTGACGGCACTCCCTTATATAGCAATGTGGATAAGTTCCTTCTTATTCGGCTATGTCTGTGATTTGTGCATCAAGAAAGGCTGGCATACTATCAAAACAGGGAGAATTATTCATACAACTGTTGGTAAATAAAGGAACTTTTATTTTTAAAATTTTCTATAGATAATTTTTTTCTGAAACAAAATCTACAAGGTTATGTTGTCATGCTTCGTACATTTGGACACTAAGGGGGCGTACATAAATTACGTGAGATGTTTAAGGGGGGGAAGGGGGTCGATTCAAATCTCATCTAATCTTACGTTGGAGAGATGGGGGTCTCGGCAAATATTACGCAATTTTTTTTCTGATTGAAACAAAAAAAAAATACTATTTTGTTCCATTTAATCCAGATTATACATGCTTAAGATTTAATCTTAAGCGTAATCGTATACGATTTAGATCATTCACTTAATCGTTCGAAAGAAAATAATTTAATTCTTCTTCTTCTTTTACTCTTTGGTTTTCATTTGTATACTTTTACTTAAATTTGGCTTCCATAAAAATAATCTATGACTGAATTTGAAAATTCCCACATTTTGAAAAATCTCATGTGAGATTGGGGGATGGGGAGGGGGTTGAATAAAATCTCACGACATCTCACCAGGGGGGGAGGGAGGGACAGAAACTTAAAAAAAAACACCTCACGTAATTTATGGACGCCCCCTAATTTATGGACGACGGTAAATCCTATGGGCTGATTGCTTAATTTTAAAATCTATCGCAATTCACGGGTAAAACGGTTACGATAGCCATTTATGGAACTATTTAATTTTCAAAGACGAAATCACTTTTGAAACGAATGATGTAGAAACAATGAAAAATTACACTCATTGATAGATTGCGGTTATCATTCAACTCTTTCGTTTGGCATTTCTCAGTAGCTCTCAAGCATTTATCGATTTGCTTAAAAAATTCAAGTTCATTAAATGTCTTTCAATTTGTCACGTATTAATATTTGGAGCGTGTAGTTTGTAAATATTTTTCAAATGTATTGCGACAGATTTTAAAATAAGATTAGGCCCCTGATTTATTATAGTTATTCAAGAAGTGTGTCATTGAGCGATCTGTATTTGTCCGTTGGGTTTTAGTGTAAAGATAAAAAAAAATAAAGAAAATTAAAACTCAAAATATAATTGTTTAACCAAAATTTAAGATGTTTATCAACGTAAATTAAAAAAAAAAACTGAAGAATTGATGAAAGTTTTTAATCTACATCCGATTGTCAGATGTATTATTTAATAATCCTATTTATTAATCATACTTCATCTTGGAATGAAATTAATCAATAAATTAATGGTAAGGCTTATGGAAGTTTTCGAAATATTCGTTAACGTAGATATCAAATATTCCAGATCTCGCCAATTTTTGCAATCTTTTTTAAACCATATGACAATCTTTCTTAACTATTTATATTATTACTATTATATGCTGATAGTGAACCGTCGATTTTCTTTTATACCTTTAGTAATATTTTCATAAACTTTTTTTTTTTATATACAGTTATTGTCAATTGAATCTAATACAGCAGAACCTAAGCTTATGCTTCTGTTGTATTCTTTAAACAAAGACTATTGCAAACCGCTTACAGTCAAACTGAGTAAAATAATAGCATCTTATTTTTAGAAGTACCCAATAAGTAAAAAAAAAATGAAACCAATATCAACATGGTACTTATTCCTCTTTGTTAACTTAGATTCTCGTTCATTTTCATATTTGAACATAACTGGTTTTATTTTTACAGCGGCTACTGGACCGGCCATTTGTATTATTTTGGCGTCTTACGCAGGCTGTGACCGCACCGCTGCGATGGTTTATTTTGTACTCTCCATGGCTTTGATGGGTGGTTTTTACAGTGGTATGAAGGTAGGTATTCAATTAATAGCTTAAAAAATTGTAACTAGTGATTAAGGGTCAGTAGTTACTAGCTTTCGCCAGCGGCTTCGCCTGCGTGGTCCCTAGGGTAATATACATATAGTGGGATAAAAAATATTCTATTATCTAAGTCAGTTAATACTCTATTTGCATACCAAATTTCATTAAAATCCGCCCAGCACGTTTGACGTGATTGACGGACAAACATCCAAACAAAGAAACTTTCACATTTATAATATTAATGGGATTATGTCAGGTGTGAAGTAAAATTTTAATGTTAAAAATGAGAAAAGCTTTGGTGAATACTGTATCTTATGGTGCTCAATTCTCTTTGCTAGCCCCATAAGGGTCTTTCAGGTTAGAATTTCTAATTCCCAAAATTTACGAAATTTCAATATGTCAATTTCTGAAATGTCCACTTCTCGAAATTTTCAATTCCCAAAACGTCCAGTACTCAAGCAATGTTATGAAATATAGATATATTTTCTAAAATGCTTAGTTATGACCATAATCATTGTAATCAAGTAAATTGCACTTATATCAAAACAGTTATCTAGAATTTTAATAAAGGTTTGTATGCCGCCTGAGATATTTTATGTAAGTCACTGAAATAATTAAAAATGTTTTAACTACATGTTCTGAATATCTAAGCTATAAATTAGACTATAATTCTGGTTCATTAACACCGAAACATAAATTAAGTTTCACGCTCAATTTTACAGAGTTCCCGAGAGAGTGTATAATCGTAATTTACTTTACAGGTGAACGCTTTGGACTTGGCCCCTAACTACGCGGGCAGTCTGACGTCACTAGTGAATACCACTTCTACATTCGCCGGAATAGCTACACCTTACCTGATTGGACTAATGACTCCTAATGTAAGTACTTATTATGTGGATAGTTTCAGAGTTTGAAGTATCGAACACAGAGTAGTCACAGCATTAGAGGTTCCGTCAAATAAAATCTATATTACCTATAGAATCCGGTTATATTTGATAAAACACTGTTAGGCAGTATATCGTAATTCATTAGTATTGATAATTAAAGAATTAAAGTAAGTTGGTACTTTTTTTGTCAGATAATTTTATAAATTCATATCTGACTCAATTATGTCTTCTTATTTAAGTAGTTTGGAATTACTTTGTACGCTAATTGTAGCTAAGAAAATATATACTGCGTAAACAGTTAGTGCGTCTTCTTAAACTTTTTTGATGTTTTCAGTCAACGCTATCAGAATGGCGGGCGGCGTTTTGGGTATGTTTCGCCGTATTGGTCGGCACAAACGTAGTTTACTGCATTTGGGCTGACGGCAAGCAGCAATGGTGGGATGACGTCAGACAATTCGGCTACCCACCTGATTGGAAACATGGCTCACTTATCGACGAGCGAATCCCTGAACAACCGGAGTCTGTTAAACTATCAGATGAGAAAGCCGGATGATGTTACGATAATAACAATTTGTCATAGAAAAAACAGTACTCTTTAAACAGTGCGTATTGATGACTTTTTCCTTGGGACTGTTTTGTTACTTTCGTTCGTTCAAGTGTTCAACTAGGTACTTGACGAACGGCATTGGAAAATTGTTCACTAAATGCTGTTCGTTCAGTTGATTGTATTGCTGTCTCGCTTGCTCCTTCCTAATGAACCAGAAGGCAACGCACCCATACACGCGACCATTTCAGGACAGGGTGATTGGAGAGCCCTGGTTTAAGACTTAAGGTGTACTTCCCCTGCGTTGTCAATAAGGTTTGATAGACTGCGTTCAGATTAAACCACAGATTAAACTGAATGTCAGCAGCGGGCTGTAAGCGAGCTTTGCGCAGCTGATTGCAATTTCATATATACAGTTTCAATACAGTCAGCGAAAGCCGATCATTTGAAGTATAACATTTGATCACATAAGTGGTTACACTGCCTAGTTAGGGTATGTATGTTAGGGTATGTGATACGGCACGAGTTTCAGGACAGACTGAGAGTCAACAAAAAGTCTCAGTGACGAAAATTACCAATGCGCACTATTGTTTCTAATTAAATTCGCATCGAACACAAATGAGACAATTTTGTGCAATTTGAAATCTTACTTTCTGTTCACGAAGATATATAACGTTGAGCCAACACAAAAAAATGACACAATATGATCGATACGAATTCGATTAGCTGTCGAAAATTTCATTATAAGGGTACAATCTAGAAAGCTATTTAGACACTTCCATGAAGTGTCAATATGTAGTAAATAAAAAATTTAAAAGTAGTATACTTTATATCTTAAGTCGAATTTTAATAAAGGAATCTAGAGAAATTACATTAAATAGAATAGAATTAGTTGTGGAAATATAACTAATGGCTTAGAAACAATGGGCGATGGCGTCAGCGTAAGGTTTGCTGTTCATATCTGTGTCTTACTTTCAATGGGTCAATCAATGTTTTGTTAACTAATGAGGTAATCCCACAGAATTTGCCCGCTCTCTGAATGCTGACCCCGCCAACCAGTGTAACAAAGCCATAAAAATCAGAGCAGGAACACATCTCTGTCGTGTTGATGATTATACGTCAGAAGCTTAATATCCGTTGCATACATTTAGTATGATTAGAGACATGAGATACACTCATGTGTCATGAACCCATTACATTCTAACATATGAAATCACACCCGACAGCAATAAAAACGATACAATAAAATACGTGTGTTCTTGCCTTCATTCCGAATTCTAAACTTTGCCTATGCTGCTTTTGCACATTGGCTTTTATTAAAATTTTATTTAAAGTGTATTATAGCGTTTCAAACGCATAATGTTATTTAAAAGTCTTAATTAAATAAATTAGATTCAATGTCAACCATAAAATGGTATGCGCATATAAAGAAACGTAATTATATATATTAATTATATCATATATAATAATATTAAGTTGATTTTGTTTTCTTTATAAAAACATTTGCTATGAGATATTAGTGGTAAAGTCTATAAATATGTATAATATATATCAAGCATTAAACAGTGTATCATATTTCCAACATTTGACACCCAATTTTTATAATGAATGTAGCAAATCAATGAATAATAAAATGCTTTATTTTTATAATCATTTTACAACTTAGAAATTAAGTTATTATAAGTTATAATTTGTACCGGCAGCAGACTTCATTGATAATAGTCAGTTGTTAATTTTATAAGTAACTATCAAATTCTAACCAGTCTTCCTAGTCAGTGTGAATTGTTACATAATGTGAAGTACAAATTAATTCGCTATCTTTAAAAAAATAATTCAAACCTTAAAAAACAAGGTGTTTAGAAAAGTTATATTGAATTAGTTCATAATTTTGCAATAGTAAATTCATTACTTATGTTGTATTAATCCATTTTTTATGAAAATTACGCCTTTTAGATGTATTTTTAATGATAATATTAGACCATTATGGCCATATGTGTTCAATTTTGTACTTTAAAAAAGTCAAATTTGCAATAAATGTTAATTATAAAATCTTTGATGTTTTTATCAAATATATGTGAAGCACAATTAAATATAAGTATAAAATAAAAAACATATGCATAACATTAAAAAACAAAAAAAATACACAGAGTTTTTAAAACCATTCACATCATTCGATCATACCTTATCAAACCTCAATCTTTACTAGTCAATTTATTTATTTATTTATTCATTAAGATGTACAAAACTGGTGACAACCGGGTGAAAATACAAATTAAAAGTATGTTTTACAGTTATCATGGTTGCGACCCTTCACATGTACATACTGCAAACACAAATTAAACAAAAACATACATTTATATACTTCAATAACTATTACATTCTTTATAATTATAATTTTGAATTTTGAATAACATCGCTAAGTCACTAAATATTAATAAAAAAAAAAGTAAAAAATTACACCAATGCGTTAAAAAGTTTTCTCCTAAAAGTTAATGTATTACAGTTGAAAATATCAATATCCGATCCATTACCAATGAGTTCATTATATCGGCGGCACATTCTAGATATAGGATTATAGTAAGAACTATTATTAAGATACACATTAAGTGTAAACATTTTAGGTCTTCTTGTGTGATAATTAGTGTTAAAATTAATTTGAGACAATAAATTAGAGGACTCAATTTTAAAGTTTACAATTTTATATAATGTCATTAAATCTAGGACCCCTCTCCTAATTGCCAACGATTGCAAATTAAATCTTTTCAATCTCTCTTCATATGAACGGTAGGTGCGTAGTAGGTTAAATTTATAACATAAGAACCTAATAAAACGCTTCTGTATTCGTTCGAGATTGTTAATGTGAACTAGATAATTAGGCGACCAAATTACTGAATTATACTCCAATATATTGCGAACAAGAGCAAAATAAATCGTCAAAACAGAAGAAATGTTTTTAAATGATCTCGCATTTCTGCATATAAAACCTAGCAAGAAGACTTATTGAAAATATAGTCATAGTGGTTACGATGTGACAATTTACAATCAAATAACACTCCAAGATCTTTGACTTCTGATTTACGAGCCAAGATATGATTGTCCAAAGTGTAATCAAAGTGTATAGAATATTTTTTTTTGCGTGAAAGATATTACGAAGCATTTGCTTATATTAAGCGACATTCCATTTACCTGACACCATTTAAGTATAGAATTCAAGTCAGTTTGAAGTTTCACCACGTCGTCTACGCAAGATATGGTAGTATATACTTTTAAATCGTCGGCGTATAAAAGACATGGACACGATAGTTGGGTAATGAGGTCGTTAATAAAAACTATGAAAAGGAGAGGACCAAGATGTGAACCCTGAGGTACACCAGAAGGGACAATAAATTCCGACGAAAGGTCACCCTTCAACGCAACCAACTGGCTCCTCCAGCTCAAATAACACTTGACCCACCTTAACAAGTTTCCGTGTACACCCAAAATTTCGAGTTTTTGACATAGTAAGGAGTGATTCACTCTATCAAAGGCTTTCGAAAAGTCTGTATAAATAGAGTCCACTTGTCCTCTTTTAGCAAAGGCACTGCATAAATAACTTTTGTATTCTAAAAGATTAGAGGTTGTTGACTTATTTTTTAAAAGGCCATGTTGATTATCATGTAGTAATAACTTAAAGTGGTCATATAGGACATCGTATACAAAACTCTCAAATAACTTCGATACACAGAACAAAATACTAATAGGACCATAATTATCACAAATAGACTTATCACCAGACTTGAATACGGGTATAATGTAAGCAATTTTCCAGGGCGCAGGAAATACTCTTGAAGACAATTACTTATTAAATAAGATGCCCAAAGGGGATGATATTGTATTGACACATCGCTTTAGTATCGTATTATTGGAGGAACTCCATCCGCACCAGCACCCTTAGACTCATCAAGTTCTTTTATTTTAACTTCTATCTCAGCTTCACTTATGCTTATCGAGCTAATAACCTGATTTAGATTTATATTAGCTATACCAGACTGATCCAAGGTATCTTCGATGGATGCGTCATCACTATAAACAGAGCTGAAATACTGTGCAAAAAGTTCACATATGCCTTTACTGTCAAACGCATTTTGATTTTTATATTTCATAGTAGATGGAAAACCATATGAAGAATTTCTTTTAGCATGAACGAAACTCCAGAAATGTTTAATGTTAACAGTCAGCGAGTCCTCAACCGCTTGTACATACCCACGGTAACAGTCTTCGACAAGTCTCTTAGCTCTAGCTCGTAACAGCGAGTAAGTATCATAGTCCCGGGGATTATTATATTTTTTAAACAATTTATGGTACTTCCTTTTTTCCTTTAAGAATCGTTTCAGGCCATTACTAAACCACGGTGGAAATCCAGATATGTCCTTCTTAACTGTAGGTGTGTGTTTAGATATTAGTTCCATAATTTTAGAATAAAATACATTTACGTTATCATCAATATGTTTCGAATTGAGAGTCAAACTCCAGTCAATTAACTCAATATCGTGATTTAGTGCTTCATAGTTACATTTTTTAAAATTCAAACATTTTCTTCTTTTAGTCTGTAAATTTCTAGAAACAGAAAGCACGTTCGAATCAATTAGTAATGCCGGGTGATGTTTGTCTAGACGGCTGACTGGATCGATTTCACGAACAATACAGGTACAAGTAGAGAAAACTAAATCAAGGTATCGATTATTATGGTTCGGGATGGAATTAAATTGATTCAAGTTGCACAAAGTCGCAAATTCAAGCAAGATACTGGACTTTTTATCTGATGGAGAAGAAGGAAATAATGACAACAAATTATCTCGTGAAGACCATTCAATATTGGGTGTGTTAAAATCACCAATTAAAATAAACTCATCAGAATGCTGCGCATTAAGGATACTTATACAAGAATCATTAAAATCATCTAATAAAACAGATGATATATCGGGAGGGAGGTAACAAAGACATACATTTAAAGTTTTACGTAAGCCATA